ACGTCAAAATGGGATGATAGAACTCATACTTTCGTATGAATAGTAGAGTTACTGCTGGTTCGCTAACCTGGCTTTGATTGTCTTTCATAGTTGTATATTGAAGTCAAAATATATCCACGGTCAAGTATGTACGGCTGGCTTATTTATCTTACGTTTCGACGACCTATCACCGTTGACCTGTTTACTTTGTAGTTGTCTATTTTCAAAGTGAATATCAAGAATCATATTCGCAAAAATCACAGAGGGATCGACATTACTATAGATAATAGTATATGAGACACAAAAATTGACCATGTACATGAGGCGGACTCTGGCTCGCTCTTCTACTTCAAGGAACCGATTAACGATGACCTGGATACTTATGCTGATGAACACTGCACGTAGGTACGTACTACGTACGTAGCCTAATAGGAGAACAGATTGAAAATAGAAATCAGCTCAAGCTGAAACAAGACAGTTTCTTAAAAAGTTTTTTTTCTTCATTGTTTCCTCAATCCTCGGACCTGAAGCAATACATACGGACCCTCTCACGAGTCACGAGTCACGACTATTACCGGGTCACCAATGAAGGTCCAATATAAGCGTAGTAAAAGGTCCAATATAAGCGTAGTAAAAGGTCCAATATAAGCGTAGTGAAAGGTCCAATATAAGCGTAGTAAAAGGTCCAATATAAGCGTAGTAAAAGGTCCAATATAAGCGTAGTAAAACCATACAGTCTAGCAACGACTCACGGTCTCACCCCAGTCCCCACGGCCCACGGCCCACGGCCCACGGCCCACGGCCCACGGCCCACGGCCCACGGCCCACGGCCCACGGCCCACGGCCCACGGCCCACGGCCCACGGCCCACGGCCCACGGCCCACGGCCCATGCCCCACGGGCCACGGCCGGCACCACGCAAACACAACAACATATTTATATAATAAAATTTTTATAAAAATATTGTAGTCACAACTTACATTTGTATTTACATACTAAATTACATATAAATACACTCTAAATACATAGTCTGTTTACTTTACACTCCACTGTCTAAAGTCTACGCTCTACAATACTCTAACACTCCACAGGTCACAGCGACACAGGCGCACAGCCTTGCTCTTTTGTTGTTGTATTTATCTGAAAAGTGAAAACGTATTTTACTGGTTTAGTGAGAGTTGCGTATTATAGAAATAATAATAGGGTTAAAAAAATGAAACTTCTTTTGGAGCGGGAGGAATTTATATTGCTTAAATAGATCCCTTTATTATGATTTTTGATTGGATATTATCCCCAAAGTGTCCAGTAGCAAGTTGCGTTTTCTGCTTCGAGTTTGTTCATCTGGAGGACTGGAGTTGTGCTGTATCTGTTGTTGGCTAAATATGTATGTATGTGTGCATACATAAATACGTTCTATTTCAAAATAAAATAGATATGATTTAAAAAACAAATTGTGGGGGTGGAGGGGGGGGGGTAAAAAAAAAGCATAAACAATATTTGTCTTTATGCGACTGGTTGAATGGTTCATCAAGGTGCCATAGAAAGTTGGAAATGATAGAATATTACTCAATACAGCCTTTGGAACGGGCTATTTACATAGAGGATTTGCAGGAGCCTTCACACATTCGCATCAACAAGGTGTCTGTATTACTTGTGTTGGTTTAGATTGTATCAATATGTGTGCTTCATGTGTACTGTCAGGTTTGATGTGTCTAGCGGTAGTCTCTGCCGCTGCTTCTCCCACATCAAAGCTGCATGCTGCCCATACGACATTTGATACCACTATACCAGAAGAGTATGCCAATCTACGGAATGGTCCACAAATGAGTGACAACATAATCGCCCTGACCAGCAAGCGCAGTGATGGCGTGAATGGGGTGTATGAGAAGTCTCGTAGACGACGACAGACAGAGAGTGAAGAAGATGGAGCAGATGGAACAAATGCAACAGCCCCAGACGGTGCAAATATCACATCGGAAATGGTATGTTTCGAATCCGTATAGGGTGATGAGATATGATAATACACGTGATATACGAACGGACTATATAGTTAAAACCTGTAGCATATGTTACTATAATCTTTTAATGTAGTTCTCTTACTCTGATGTAGACTATCACGAATGTTTTCATAAACTGCATGTTTTTTATCATCGTTTGCACATGGCACGAGAGATGCACTCACAAGGTATGGGGACCTGTTGATATTGTTTGAAATCAACGATATCCGAGGAGACCTGTTAACAATTCAGATTACACGTCTTAACATATTCAGTTTTATGTTACTAGAATCTATAAGAAGATTAAACACGGAAATTACGGTTCGTGCTATAATCAAAAGTGCCAGATCAGAAAATATTTGCGATGGGATATTATTCAATTGTAACTCAGATTCGAACTGTATGTATATACATAAACAATATATGAAGGTAGGAATTTTAACTTACATATAGAAAAATATATTAATGTATGTATATATTCAAAGTATTTATATATGAATGTATATAAACGCTTGAATTGTATATATATATATATATATATATATTTGGATATATATATATATTTGTAATGTATATATATAT